TTATTTTTGTCTTGTTCTTTTCAACAGATATTTACAACACGCTCACACAAACAAACCCACTAGAACACAGAATCATTTATTTGTGGAGGAAGTAATATTTTTTATAAAGAGTCACTTTTGCAGCCGGAATCTGTTATTGTTAGAATAAAAGCTTCAATGTTCTTTTGGCACAAATAATTAAGCAGTAATGAGTCAATGTTTATCACCATAGTTTCACATGTCCAGCCATCACAGAGGGAAGGACAACTCCTACAAAATTGATGCAATCAGATATTATTGCTTTGTATCTGAGAAGTAAATTCAGCAATTAATTTTAACCTATAACTGTCGGATATGTTTGTTTTTGCTTTTTCTGACAGTGTCCAGCCGCTAAAAAAGCAACAATACTGCAACTTTTGTCAGTTAGACGTCTACTGCTGAATGCCCCTTTGGGATGAAAATAATATACCGTAAGCACTATTATGAGATAAAGCCTATATTTCTGTGTTAATTATCCCTCACCTGGGTCAAATCAACCACAAAACAGGCTTAAATCGTAAGCAACTGGACTGTCACTCAGTTTTTATGAACATTTTTAGACGCCTATTCAGCGGTCTTATTCATTCTGCCGACTCGCACTGTAGTGCTGATGTATTTAAGTAGCATGGAGGTCCATCGTTCTGCATTCCAAGTCACAGGCAAATCAAATTGCCCCCTATTGTTATTCTGGATTGTTTGAGCCTTTTGTTGTGTATGATCTCTGTGATTGGTCTTTGGAATGAGTTTCATGAAAAACCTGAAAAACCTCCCCCTCTGATCAGTGATGGCTTTTCCCCTTTTCACAGAGATGGATTCCTTCACACCTCTTTCAAACCATCTGTCCTCTCTGTCCAAAATGTCAATATTTTGGTCTTCAAAGGTTTCTTTTGCTCTCTGGCATCTAATTTCCAACTGAATCTTACCCTGAGCTGTTGACCCCCTTTGTTGCTCCATGTGTTTATGTGGTTGTTGCTGGTTTCTCTAATGTGGGAAAGGAGCTAAATACTGATTGTTACCAGATTAACGCATATTTGAAAAAAAAAACACATTAACCCGATAATTTCAGTAGGAAAGCAGGTCGTATCTGCACCTTTCTGAATATAACTTTAAGTAAATTTGACCCAAGAAACATTCACTCTCTGATGTAAGAAAGGATTCATATCATGTGAGCAAAACAGGAAATGGATGGCTGGCTAATAAAGTAACTGATAAATTATTATTCAATCAATCAATCAATTACCTTATTTTGATAAATCCACATCAAACACAGGAAAGAACAAAAGAAAAGTAAAAATGAAAAAATAAATAAATAAATAAAAAGCAACAATAAATAAACCCACAATTTACCAAAAGATGAATAGGCGGAAGCAAAGCTGATTCTTGCCTACCCTGTTTTTATACCTGACAACAAATATTAATGACATAAATGTAAATAAGTTGCATTCGTTCTTTATTGAGACATCTCTGTACCTATTATGCCATTCAGGTGAGGCGATAACATGTTTTTCTACAAACAAAGTAAACAGATTATCTTTCAGCTCCTCGTTTTCCATCATGTTGCTGCTGTTACTGTATAACAAGTAACAAGGCAGTTTGGAAAACACAAGGAGTAGAAAGGAAAGATATATATATATTTAAAAATTTAGTGAGTAAATGCAATAACTTCTCAGAAAAATAAGTACAGACACAGACAAAGAACGTACATGCAATAAGAGTCCCCTCTCTGGGGGGTATTCTTCTCCATTTTCCTTGTCATATGGTTCCCAGGTGGAAATTCCTAATTTACCTTTTTTTTCCCAGTAGAAACTTTCATAAAAACATTGTAAGAAATATTAAATAAGAAAAAAAAAAAAAACATGTTTTATTCCAGCTTTCTTCATTGATTATTAATAAAAAGAGCATCAATGATCTCAAACTGGGAGTTAGAGAGCAGTCTTATGAAACAGCTTTCTGCCCATTTTACTAGGCAGCAATCAATCTGTGTGGAAATTCCTCAGAGAATGAAGGCCCTGCTATATTTTGGAGGTTTTAAAAAAGCTGCCAACAGCTTGCAAACTAAAAAACAAAGAAAAAGTAACTTGTTGTTTTTTTTTACCAGGAGTGAAACCATGAATCTCTATGAAACATTTCCACAAGTGGAGTATTTTAATGTGGAATATTCAGAAATTAATCCTTAAAACTCAGATAAAGTGAATTCAGCGTCTCTACTGTGCAGATCCCAAGGTTGGACGGCTCTATTCAATTTGTTTTTTACTGCTAGATGCAAAAGCAGGGTCCACATACATGCAATCAGAGAAATTCAACCTCTAGAGGGGCGTTAAGTGCAAAAGTTAATTATTAGACCCCTAATGACCCCCATTGTACTTTCTAATTTCAGTATTTCCCCAGACGTCCTGAAACCAACCAGCAAAGGATTGTTTTATTATTCACTGAGGAACCACATGAAATTATCTACTTATTTTCAGGTTTTAAAAAAATTAAACACATGAAAAACACAACAGCCTCAGTCAGGCTATTTTAAAAGGCTCCATATTGGTTGTAAAAGTGGTGAAAGGGTTGATAGATTGTAGATCAGTAGTTTCAGGGTTTTATTGTAGATCCACTAAATCTTAATCTGCAATGTTAGAGTTCCTTAAAGGTGATAGAGTTTAAGTCCTCCATGTTAGTATAGTAAGTGGTGCATTAAGGCTAACCTGCTCTCCTTCTGATCTGTTTGCCAGCAGGCTGCAAGGTCTGCTAATGCAAATGCTAATCAAACTAAGCATTTAACTGAGCAGCTCAGGAGAAAAGTTGCAACCTTTGCTTTATCAGGGAGCTACTCTGGCAGCACCTGAGCTCCATCCCAAGTGACTTCAGCATGGTATTCCTATTATTGCACAATCCTCTCCTTTCAATACTTTCATTATGACCATAAGTAATTATCTATATATTTTGGAGCCATCTAATTACTAGACAAAATTATTTGAACACTATTTCTTTTCTTCAACAACAACAAAAAAAAAGCTTTTATCCTGCATCACTAAATGTTTTGTGAATCTACTGTTTTTTTGGATAAATGTGTTGTTTGATAAAAAAAAAAAAAAATGTAACCGTGAGCGGCACCTGGGGCTTCAGCATTGCGGCGGCTGGGGGATTTCCTCAATGCCGCCTCTCCTCTCCCCTTGGTGGAGGAGCAGAATTCCTTGGTTGCCCCCTCCTGGACGCCTTATCTCTGGGGATCCCTTTGGGTATTTGTGGTTTTGGTTCCCCCGGCGCCTGCCTTGGTGCTCTGGGACGGTGGGTCTGTGGCTCTTCACAACCACTATTGAGCATTTTTCCTTTGGATAAACTTTACATGCACAAGTGCACTCTCACAAACAACTACAGGTGCTTGGTTCCAGGAACTTCCATACAGAAAGCGCATATTCTTATCTTCAGCTACCACAGTATACATGTCAGATTGAATAATACTACTTATACTTCAGAGATAATATCTATGTGTTAATTTATTGTATCTCTTATACTATATCCGTTGGTTGTGCTGTTCTTTTTACATCTCTTTGCAGGTGATGAAGCAGACAGAAGATGTTTTATCATTATCTCCCTTTTATCTCCTCTTTCTTTCATCTTTTCTCCTTTATTCCTGTTTTTCCTTTCCTGTTCTACTTACATTGCAGTGTCCATATACGGTAATCTGTAAAAATCCCTGCATGGATTATAATAAAGTTATTTATATGCATAAATCTAGCAGAACGCTATGGTGTTACCCGTACTGCTCCACTTGTGAAAGTAAAATCTGTTGGGCTCTTTTGGCATCAAGACAATTATTCTTATTGCCACATTGACAGACAGGACACTGAAGGAAAAAAAAAACAAAAAAAAAGACCTTTAAGTAATATCTGAAAAAGAAAATCAAACTAACCAAGACTTAAACCCTCTTTGTGCTATAGTGAAATAAAATTGACCAAGAACAAAGTTAACAAAACAGTACAGTTCTTAACGTGTACCTTTCACACACATAGACTTATATCAAATATTAAATACATCCCAAAATGGACCTAAAAACATATGAAAACAACAGTAATTAAAATTCAATTCAATTCAGCTTATCTATATTGCAACAATTCACAGCACATGTCAACTCCAGGTACTTTACAGAGACAGTTCAACCAGATCATACAGTCAAAGTAATTCAAAGTTTTCTATGGTTAACCAGCTGACTGCATCAACTCATTGACTCTCAGCAAACATCATACATGAGGAAGAGGTTTGAAGGAGGACCCAAATGCAGACACTGAAGCAGAAGTGGTTTCTTGAAGATTTAATAATGAAAAGGGTAACAGAAGCAAAAATCCAAAAACGTAAATCCACACAAATTCCAAACTACTGAAAAGTTTCAGTGAAAACCATGAATACTCTCAACAAGGGGGCAAAGAAATTATGACAAACCAGCAAAGAGTGACTGAGAAGGAGGAGAATATATGGGAGAGAGAAACAAAGACCAGGCTAATTAGCAGATTGGGAGCAGAGTTTCACCAATGGAAACAGAGGAGGCTAGAAGGGAGCCAGGGAAAAGGAGACCAACACTAGAGGGCAAACAAGAAATATCTAAGAACTCAAATACAATTACCCATTTCTGTGTTCTAGTTATTTTTGAATAACTAGAACACAGAAATGGAAATAAGACCAATGAAAACTCAGAGATAAAACATGAACAGAACCAAAACCATGACAACTTATTAGATAAACAATTAGTTTAATGGATGTAAACCTCTAAAAAAAAAAAACGATTTATTTTCACAGGTTTTCATTGGTGAAACTTTGCATTAATGATTTTATAAAAGACAGTTTTTTCATCAGAGCTGCACTGTTTAACAAACTTTGTGTTCGCCTCTGACTCAAAGTTTGAAGCTGAGAGATCACCCCCATGCTCAGCAAACAGAGAGCAGAGTTCAGTTTGCTCTGACTGTCGCCTCAGCTCATTGTAAAGGCTGAGCAGCAGCCGTCTGCAGCAGGAATGGCAGAGCCCAGCGGGATCCTGATCAAAGGGGGCAGAGTTGTAAACGAGGACTGTTCCGTGATCAGCGACGTTTACATCAAAAATGGGAAAATAGTGGAAGTTGGACCGAACCTTCAGATCCCGGCAGGAGTGCAGGTCATCAACGCCACTGACAAACTAGTGATCCCAGGCGGGATAGACACGCACACACACATGGAGCTGGCCTTCATGGGCACCAGGGCTGTGGATGATTTCCACATCGGGACCAAGGTGCAGTATGTGACACTTGATCAGAGAAATACATTTAGGACCGTCCTGAAAGGTTGTTGCTTCCTTAAAGCACTGATTTCTGAGGTAACCTAATCAAACAGCCAGGTGAAGTTTATAAGGACTTTAAAGGAAAACTGACTGCTGTAACAAATCCAAACCTGAAATCTTCAAATTTATTTAAAACATTTAATGTTTACAAGTTTCTCTAATTTAACCCATCATAGTTAAATTAGGCTCTTGGTACTGTTTTATTTAGGGGCCCAACTTCCATCCAAACCCATTACAATCACCTGAATTCACAGGGATTCAGTTTCAATAATCAAACAATTTAGAGCTTTGAAAAGTATGAAATGAACAGTTAAACAGGTAAAAACAACACATCCACACATCATCTAGAGTAGATAATAATAATAATAATAATAATAATAATAATAATAATATGCTGGTGAAGGTTCTCAGTCATCCAGGTAATAGTCATTCAAAAAAAAGAAAGTTAAAAACAATCCACTGGACTTTGTTTCCAAGTTTAAGAACTTTTCGCTTCCCATCCAGGAAGCTTTTTAATTCAAAATTTCAGAAATAGTGAGTTCAAGATTTTATACAGTAGTACAACAAAGCCTTGTTTTTGTTTTTAAAACATGCAAATTGGAACGGACGAACAGGTCTACCCCTTTGGAATGGGGATCCAAATGAGTGGTCGACCCGACGACCTTAACGCTATTCCTGACATTTTGAATTGAAAAAACTTCCTGGATTGAAAGCAAAATGTCTTCAAAATTGGAAACAAAGTCCAGTGGTTTGTTTTTAATTTCTTTTCTTGAAATAATAGTAATAATAAAATGTTGTAATAAAACTAAAAGCTAAATCTATTGAAAGAATAATTGTTTTATTATTTTGATCGGTCCAAAATATTTACTTCTATTTCATGACAGATAAATCGTCAGGCTGATATTTTGGGCAGATATTTGTTTTTTTTTTCCTTCCTTGTATCGATATTGATTGTATCGGCCGATGCATTTAGCAGCTGTGCTTTAAGATCACATAAAGTGCAAGAACGTCTGGCCCGGCCCAAAAATCATTAATTTTTAGTTTGATTTGTTAATAAAGTTTTAATTTTGTTTAAATAAAGACTTGTGTAATTTTGGTTATTATGTCGTTTTTTTTGTAGTCAATGGTGGAAGAAAATCTGCCTTATCAAATCAGCAGCACGTATCCGGGATCGGATAGACTCATGTCAGAAGAGTATTGACATTGGCCTGAAAAAGTTGATCTCTAGTCTGAAAATATTCTGTCCTGGAATTGAGGAGTTTCTTTATGCTGATATTGCTTCTTCCTCCATTTACCTGATAAAAATAACACAATGATATTTAATGATATAACAGTCTCAGTTTAAACAAAGAAATATTTCTGAATAAATCAAACAAACATTAACAATTGATAGCAAATTGAGGGAATGTCACTGCATGTCCTTAATATTATATCAAGGTATGACATGATTAAAACGCATATATTTATTGACCAAACATGCAATAATGGCTAAAAATAATAATTTCTAATTTTGTTTGTTGGCAGTTCTGTTGCGTTAACCAACAGGGCAAGCACAAGTACAGTAGCAGCCATTTAAAATAGCCCTTCCCAGTCAAACTCCAGCCGAATGGCAGCGGACTCCCCTGCAACTCCCAGCAAAATCCCCAAATCACATGGCCAAGTCATTTACTGTGTTTGATATCTGGAATGAAAGTTTTCTAATGCCACTTATGAAGTAAGCAGGTGTCTCAGAGGTTCAGTGAATGGTGCAGGACTCCTACAGAGCATTAGGTCCCTCAATCCATAACACGGTGGAATATATTGGAAAGAAAAGCAACTCCACTATGGGGTGGTGGGCTGGATATATCATGGGACAGGGTCCACAGGTCATCAACATTCTGCAGAGGAAGACGCAGGAACATACAGCGCTGCAAACTGCACCAGCATGGACAGAGTCCTGAACTTTATCCCATTTTAAGGATCAATATGGAGGGAACTATGTTCCATTATTGTTGGAAAGAACATGCTTTGCAAAACAAGATTTCAAAAAAATTAGATCCAAAAATAAACCTTTTTTTTTTTCCATATTTATGTTTTTCGGATTAAGTTTTATGAACTGCATTTTTTTTAAAATTGCATTTTATAGATCACATTCTCTTTACCGATACAAACCAATGCAAACACACGCTAATGGGGCGCACATTGACCAAAAAAAAAAAAAAAAAAAAAAGATTGCTGCAGAAGTCCACCCAGACCAAAGGAAATAAATATTTGCTTCCCTTTCTAGAAGAAAGCCCACCCCCAGAAGTAAAGAAATGTGGAATGTAAAG